GATTTTGTTTTTTAAAGGCTGTTTTATTACTAACATATCACCTAGAATATGTGCAAGCTTGATTTTATGTGTTGTTAGAGTAAGCCTGTTTCAGTTTTCCCCTTAACTCAAGGGGAATCACATATTCTCATGACTTAGTCTTTTTCCTAAGATCTGATCTTTTTGGGGTTTTAATGGAAAGTCCAATGTGTTTATCACACTACTCCAAATTCTGATTTCCATATGATAGACATCAACCCCAAACTCTACATTTTGTTGTTCTCCTCTCCTCTCCCTTCCCCTTTCTTCCCTCTCTCCTTACCTGCCCTCCCTTCCTCCCTCCTTCCCTCTCTCCATCCTCTCTCTTCCTTTAAAAAAAATTCAGCTCATTTCTTTCTGAAAATTTCAGGAACTCTAAAAGTATCAAAATTGACTCCTCCAAAATAGCACAACTTTGGTTTTCTGCTGAAGTTCAGCTGTGGAAAAGCTGTATAAAAATAGCCTATGGTTCACAAAGTATATTTTTCTTCTTTTAAGGGTAGATTATTTTCAAGTTCTTTCCTGTTTACAATTACTATCTTTTGTTTTTATGTAGAATTAAAATTGTTTTAATAATTTTTAGGTACCTTAGAATTTTATGCAAGTAGTCTGCCTTATCTTAACATGCTTTTATAGCTTTACAAATAATTTAGAGTAAGTAATAATGAGTCTGAGGTTGATTTCCAGTTCTAGGTATATGTTATGGTTTAGTTACGGCATATTCTGTCCTCAAATGTTTCATGTGTTGCAAACTTGGTTCTTAGTGTGATGATTTGGGGAAGTAGTTCTGCTAAGAGGTGGAGGCTAGTGGGAGGTAGTTAAGTGAATGGTAGGTATTACACCCAGGAGTGTTGTGGGATCTCTGAGTTACTCTCTGGCTTCCTCCTATATGCACTCCAGCTATCTATCATAGTGCTAGAGTCAGCACTCTGATGTGTAGGTTTTCAGCTTCTAAAACTGTGGGCTAAATCAACCTGTTTTTTTTATAAGGCTAGCGTGCCTCAAGTGTTTTGCTATAGTAATGTAAAACTGACTGATAAAGTATTTTATTAATCTATGCAACCTTCAACCTAACTTCATAAATCCTTACTTCCCAAATATCTACAATGAGGGATTGGTTGAATCTTAATACTAATATTTTATGAGTTCCTTTTCTGGTATGAGAGTTCTGGGTACAATGCTGTTGATGAATTCAGGAAGAATCTTATTAGGAATTTTGAATACCTTACCTGAACTTTATTCATCTCCAGTTTGTTCTTTTCATTAGCACTCTGGTCTTGTTTGCTAGCTCCCTTTTTCTGAGGGCCTTTCCCAAAGAATATATAATTCACAAAAGCATATTCCAGCAGAGCCAGGAACACGAACACAAAGCAACCCATTAGATAAATATCTATTGCTTTGACATAAGGGATCTTTGGCAGGGTCTCCCTGAGGTGAGTGCTGATGGTCGTCATTGTCAGCACAGTGGTGATCCCTGTGAACAGAAAGACAGTGTTTAGCTTGAGGTACCTCTGTGAAGCTACAGTTCGTAAGACTGAGAGGACTGAGAAAACATGTTACCCTAGAATGATGTCAGTACATGATAAACCATTGGACCAAAGGGCACACATTTTAAAAGACAAAACTGTAGGTGCTCTCCATACTCCATTAATAAGGCATAAAAATAGAATGTGAACTTAATAGAGGGTTGACACTGTTTAAGAAGATGTACTAAGGAAAAAGAAAAACTTGAAAAGGTGTATGAAAATCCAACTGGAAGCTTATTATCAAATGTCCCTCATGTGGCCACATCTTTCTCTTTCTTTTTCTTTCTCTCGGTATTTCAGCCATCTCTGCCCTAAATCTGTCCTTGTGCCCGTACCAAACTTAAGTCTTGTGACTAGCTTGAGGATATCTACTTCAACCTGTGAATCTACGTGGCACCAAATTCACAAGTTGAATATTGCATTTTAAAATAATGTGTCATTCATTGTAAGAAATCACCAAAAGAAGAGACATATAAGACTGTTTGTGATTTGCACCAAATATTTGATTCATGTATTTTCTATATACAGTATAATCTTTTTGCTTTGGGTTCTAAATATCACCTCTACTTTGATTCCAGAGCCTAGAACAAATTAGTTCCCTGATATCAGGAAAAGGTTTCTTTAAAAATTGATCTTAGATCTTTTAAACATGTAAAACTGTAAGATTGTAAAAGGCAGATTGTGTTTTATTTACTTTGTTAAATATAGCACTATTACTAGTAAGATATAAGTATAATATAATACTGGCTGCATAATAAATATTTTGTCTTAATGATGGCAATGATGCAATAATAATTGGGAAAAATAAGAAATGGAGAAAGAAGTCAGAATCTAGTATAGATTGTGTCACAACACCAATATTACACACTCATAAAGCTTTACAGTTTTAGACTCCTCCAGTTATGCGTCATCTTCTATGACTGTCATAACAGTCCACTGAGCATGATGGGAAAGTGTCTTGTTCTTATTTTATAGCTTGGTAAGCAGAAATTCTGTGCTGTAAGTCACCAAGGTAAAGGACAAAAAGGCAAAGTGACGTTAAACAGTATTAAAATAAGCAGAGAGATGAGAAGGTAATACCTGAAATTTGATGCAGATCTTTAAAAATAATGATGGGAAGCATGAGATGGGTAGCAAAGACAAAGGAAAGCTGGCAAAGGGAATAGAAGGCAGGGAAATAAGAAGAAAAATAGTTTGTGTCCACTTGGCAATTGGATTGTTCTTGATGCATAGATTCTCTGATTTGAAAAATAGGATAGAATAGAAAGTCAGGAATACCTTACAAAAGTTAAGATGGTTCAAATCACTGATTAATTCAATTGTGCCAGACTGATATCAAATGCCAGTATGAGAAGTCTTATTTATTTCTTTGAAGAGAACTCTATACTTCACCTGATGCAATTCTTCCTAATGTGCTTGGCAGTAATGAATAATTTACTTACAAATTATCTAATTGTATTTCTGCTTTCAGTCTTTGGCTTGAATTTTTGAGCAAAGAGGGTTAGTAAGTGAATGTCTTTTAAAATTATGTATGTTAAAAAATATCTTAGGCTTACATTCTGAGGAACAAGCATCATTATGTATTGACATCACTAGTATCTTTAATCAAAATATCATCTACTTTGAGGACAGTTGTGCAAAATGAATCACAATTCACAAACTTGCTGGTTAGTGTTTCCTGATGTTGCGTGGATATCGCCCAGTACTCCCTAAACATGCATATATGCAAGGTTATACCTACATTTAACTAATCTGTGCAGATACATATGTGCACCAGGGTAACTACTTATTTGCTTTCTTTAGCTTTAGAATGTTCAAAGCTTGATATGACACTGTAAGTATTTGGGTTTATGAATCTTTATGCTCAGCCAATAGAAGTAGGCTAAAAGGATGACAACTAATCTAGTTGCTATCATTTAATGCAGTTCAGCAGTCTCAGAGAAGAGTTGTAATATATTATCTCAGTCAGAAGTGATATTCTTTGTGTGTGTGTGTATGTGTGTGTGTGACAGAGAGAGAGAGAGAGAGAGAGAGAGAGAGAGAGAGAGAACAAGCCTTGGAAAGTGATTATTGAAATGTCTGAGAATAAAATAATGAGGCATATCTGTCTATGCCCAGATTCATCAGACACACCTTACATGTTCTAACTTTCCAAGGAACCATTTAAAGTCTCAAAACAGTCTTTCAGCTTTTAGAATTACTCAACCATGGCAAGATTAATTCTGAATTTTGTTCCATAAAACAGAAAATCATTTTTCTGTCTTGATCGCAGATCGTTAATATAGGTGATGAATTGTCTGTTTATTGAATATAATGAGCTTAATCTAAAGGAGACTTAGACTTTATATTTTTAAACTTTAGTTAACATTCAAAGGAAAGCATTTCCCAACAATTGATGTAGCTTGTTAGTAGTTACAAGGTTTGTTTAGCTTTCTCCAAGTGTGTTGAAAATAATGAACTATGAATGTTTTACACAGTAAAAAAGCAGGGGACAAGAGGAAGTCACTACAAATCTGATAAAAAATTAGTGCAATGAGAATCTTAGGATGTAGTCTACAAACCCCTGATGGGAAACACACCCCAATTTTCTTTTTTAAATTGTAAAATGCTGAAAAGGATATTATGTTGTAATACACTCATTATAAATACTTTATGCTTAAATATTGTATATTTAAGCACTTTTCTGTCATCTAATTCTTTGAGTTTCTGTAAGAGAGTTCTTGTTTGTGATTGCTAATATTGGCTATTTGTTTGAAGTTTCAACCTTTAACTCTCTGGAATACTAAGAATGCATTACCTAGTGCAACCCTGGCTGCAGATGCATCATAGTTGATCCAAAAAGACACCCAGGACAGAATTGTAATCAGTGTCGAAGGCATGTAGGTTTGCAAAATGAAGTAACCGATGTTTCTCTTTAGGCGAAAACTTAGTGACAGTCGTGGATATGCCCCTGAGTTGAAAAAAGTAAACAAGAAAAGAAAACCCAAATATCATTTGATTAGAATCATCATCTCCTTTATGCAGTCATTCCTAGGTGGTTTTGAAGAATCATCCTTACCTGTTGTGAACTCCACTTTCTTTGACACCATCTTGTAGTCAACAATTGAAAACTGAGGAAGCTCAATTTTATTAACTCCGGTTACTGCTCCCTCTCCTCCATTCCAGTAAAACTCAATGTCATCAGTGGTATAGCCATCTGAAATGAAGAAACACAGCCTAGTTATGTAGAATTCATGTGGTTTAGAAATTCATTTTGAAGACAGCCTAGGAGCTAGAGGGAAGAATCTCAGTAAGTACTGGCAAGCTAATATTGCTTTTAAGTAGGATGGAATATAGTGTCATGTTGAGTTCTATTTTTGATGGGTTGGTAGTGGCTACATTGAGAACACAGATGCATCTGGCTTTAGAGGATATAAGATCTGGATCATTTAGTGATAGCTGATATCACTGCTCCATTTTTCCCTCTTGTGTCGGCTAATGGGCACTCTTGTTACAGTGATGGATGGCTGGATTCCAGGGATCTGGAAATAGATTTTGGCATTATCTAACAACAATAATGACAGAAAGAAGTAATAATAATTGAACACATATTTTTAAAAGGGGAACAGAAAGGATAATGGGATAGGGTAGAACAAAAAATCACTCCACCAGACTAGAAAAAGTAGAAGACAGAATTTCAAGGCTCAAAGACAAAACAGATCAAAGAAAGAACAGAATACATAGACAAAAGACTGAAGATCTATGAAAGGAATATGCTGGAACTCTATCAAAAGACCAAACCTATGAGAATCATGGGCATCAAAGGAGAAGAGGTACAAGTCAAAGGTATAAGAAATATTTTCAACAAAATAATAGCAGAAAAATTCCCCAATCCAGGTACAGGGAGCCTCCAGGGCACCAAATAGACATGACCAAAACAGAACCTCTCCATGGCATATTATAGTTAAAACAATTAGCATAGAGAACAAGGGAAGACTATTGAAGGCTGTAAGAGAAAAATCAAGTAACTTATAAAGGTTAACCCATGGAAATAACAGCAGATTTCTCAGCAGAAACCTTAAAAGCAAGAAGGTCATGGAGTCAGGTATTTCAAGTACTGAAAGAAAACAATTTCAATCCTAGGATCGTCTACCCAGCAAAATTATCATTCAAAATAGAAGGAGGGATAAAACCTTCCATGATAAACAGAAACTAAAACAATACATGACCTAAAACCAGAAGTACAGAAGATTTTGAAAGGAATACTGCACACAGAAGATGAAAGTACACATAGCCCTGAAAAGATGGGAATTACTAAATCATGAGAAAAGTATACAAATGATCACAGAATAGCATAGGATTATGCATACACACATATCCTTACAAAACAAAAAATAAACGGCAGAAATCACTACATACCTCTCAATATTAACACTGAATGTTAATGGCCTCAATACTCCCATCAAAAGTCATAAATTGGCAAACTGGATTAAAAAGAAATACCTGATAATTTGTTATTTACAAGAAGCCCACCTTATAGACATTGCCTAAGGGTAAAAGGGTAGAAAATGATTTGCCAAGCTAACGGCCCCAGAAAATAGACAGGAGTAGCTATACTTATATCAGATAAAGTAGACTTCAAACCTAAATTAGACAGAAGAGACAAAGAAGGTCACTTCATACTAATAAAAGGAGCAACACATCAAGAGTAAATAATAATCATTAACTTATATGCACCCAATGTTGGTTCACCCAACTTCATTAAACTCGAAAACACAGAAACACCCCAACACAGTGGTAGTGTGAGACTTCAATACTTCTTCATTACCAACAGATAGGTTATCAAGACAAAAAAAATCACAAAGAAATCTAGAATTGAATGACTCTTACAGACATCTACCGAGTATTCCAACCTGCAAGAGCACAACATACATTCTCAGCAGTGCATGGAACTTTCTCTAAAATAGACCATATTTTAGATCACAAAAAAGAATTACAGGTCAATCTCTTTAATGAACTTAGATACAAAAATCCTCAGTAAAATACATATCAAAAAGATCATATACCACAATTAAGTCAGTTTCATCCCAGGGATGCAGAGATGGTTCACCATACACAAATCATTAAATGTAATACAACATATTAACAGAAGCAAAGACAAAAACCACATGATCATCTCAATAGATGCAGAAAAAGCCTTTGACAAAATTCAACATACTTTCATGATAAAAGCTTTGATGAAACTAGAATAGAAAGAATGTACCTCAACATAATAAAGGCTGTACATGACAAGCCTAAGGTCAACATCAAACTAAATGGGGAAAAACCTGAAACTATTTTCTCTAGTCAAGAAGTAGACAAGGATGTCTATATCCTCCACTCTTATTCAACATAGTCTTGGAATTCCTAGTCAGAGCAATAAAACAGGAAGAAGAAATAAAAAGAATTCAAATAGGAAAAGAAGAAGCCAAGCTATCCCTATTTGGAGAAGTCATGATCTTTTACCTAAAAGACCCCCCCCAAAAAAAACTCCACCAAAAAATTCCTAGACATTATAAACACCTTATCAGATAAAGTAGACTTCAAACCTAAATTAGACGGAAGAGACAATGAAGCAGGATACAAAATCAATTTACCAACAATGAACAGACTGAGAAAGAATATAGGAAAACAATTCCATTTACAATAGCCTCTAAAAATATGTAGGAATAAACTTAACAAAGGAAGTGAAAGACATCTACAATAAAAACTATAAACCATTGAAGAAAGAAATTGAAGAAGACTACAGAAGATGGAAATATCTCTCATGCTCATGAATTGGTAGAATCAATATTACAAAAATGGCTCTGTTACCAAAATCAATCTATATGTTCAATTCAATTCCCATCAAAATTACAATGATATTCATCACAGAGATTGAAAAGTCAACACCAAAGTTCATTTGGAAGCACAAAAGACTTCAAATAGCCAAGGAAACACTGAACAAAAAGAGCAACACTGGAAGATATCACAATACTTGACTTCAAACTATATTACAGAGCCACAGCAATAAAAACAGCATGGTACTGGTATAAGAACGGACATAAAAATCAGTGGAAGAGAATAGAAGACCCAGATACAAATCCACACATCTATGCCTGCCTGATTTTTAACAAAGGCTCCCAAAACATATGATGGAGAAAAGACATTTCTTCAACAAATGTGGCTGAGAAAACTGGATATCTGCATGAAGAAAACCAAAACTAGATCCATGATTTTCCCTCTGTACAAGTCTCAACTCATAGTGGATTAAGGACCTTAATATAAGATCTAAAACTTTGAAGCTAGTGTAGGAAAGAGCAGGAAATACACTGGAATTAGTAGGCATAGGCAATGACTCCCTCAATAAAACTCAAAAGGCTCAGCAACTAGGAGAAAGGACTGACAAATGGGACTACATGAAACTAAAAACATCTATAACATAAGAAATGGTCACCAGATCTAAGTGGCAGCCTACAGAATTGGAGAAAATCTTTGCCAGCTATCTATCTGACAAGGGATTAGTAACCAGAATATATAGGGAGCTCAAAAAACTAAATTTCCAAAAACTCAATGACCCAATGAAGAAGTGGGCAAAAAAAACTGAACAACTTTTTTAAAGGAAGAATTTCAAATGGCCAAAATCACATGAAGAAATGATCAACATCCCTGGCCGTAAAGGAAATGCAAATCAAAACCACATTGAGACTCTACCTCACTCCTATTTGAATGTCTATCATCAAACAACACAAGCAACAACAAATGTTGGTGAGCATGTGAGGAAAAAGGAATCCTTATGCACTGTTGGTGGGAATGTAAATTAGTACAGCCTTCAGCCACAAAGAGAGAAGTCATTGTCTGTGCCTATTAATTCCAGGGTATTTCCTGCTCTTTCCTGCACTAGCTTCAAAGTTTCAGATCTTATATTAAGGTCCTTAATCCACTTTGAGTTGGTATTTGTACAGAGTGAAAGACATGAATCTAGTTTTAGATTTCTGCATGCAGATATCCAGTTTACCCAGCAACCACTGTGGCAAACAATGTGGGAGCTCCTCGAAAAACTAAAAACAGAACTATCATATGATCCAGCAATATCACTCCTAGAGATATCCCTGAAGGAATGTAAGTCAGGTTACAATAAAGGCACCTGCATATGCATGTTTATTGCAGCTTTATTCACAATAGCTAAGCTATGGAAACAGCCAAGATGCCCACTACTGATAAGTGCATTAAGAAAATATGATACTTATATACCATGGAATTTTATTCAGGCACAAAGAAAAATGAAATTTTGTTGTTTGCAGGTAAATGATGGAACTGGAGAACATCATCTTAAGTAAATTAACCAGGCTCAGAAAACCAAAGTTTGCATGTTTTCTCTCATATGCAGAACATAGACCCAATGCAAACATAAGCAATATTATGAAAAATGGATTACGCTAAGGGGAGGTAACAAGTGACAAGGGGGGTAAAAGAAGGAAGTTAAGAAGGTAAATGTGGTTGGTGTACTTCTTATACA